CGCTGCACAAGTTGAATAGAATTGGCGATAAACAGCATCCTTGTCGAACTCCTCTTCGAATCTGCACACTTCCTGTCTCCCCTCTGTCCAGTAGCATTCTAACTTTCTGATCCATGTACAATTTACTAATCAATCTTCTTTGACGCCAATCGATACCTGTTTCCTTTAGGATCTGCATTAATTTGGTCCAATTTACACGGTCAAATGCCTTCTGCCAGTCTATAAAGCAAGCACACAGTTCTTTATCTATCTCCAAAGTTCGTTCTGCTATAATTCTCAGCATCCCAATTGCATCCCTCATTCCTTTTCCTCTTCTAAATCCAAACTGGTCCTCTCCAAGTATATCCTCTATTTTCCTTTCAATTCTTCTTTTAAGTATCTTTGCTGTATGTGCAATAAGGCTTATTGTGCGATGGTCGTTGCATTTTGTAGCTTTTGTCTTTTTCTTTAAGGCAATCATTGTCACTTCTGTTAAGTCCTTGGGCCACTCCCCAGTTTCATAAATGGTGTTTATTAATTTAAATTATTGTTAAAATTTATAAATACTGATTTTTTGGGTTTTTACATCGCCTTATATTCTAAAGAAAGCTAAAGAATACAATGTCTCGACAAGTGGATCCTTTCCCGTCGTCAGGGTGGAGGAATGGGAGCCATCTATTCTGTTGGGTCCGTCATTCACTTGGGAAACTGAGGTATAGATAGGAGAATAATACTAGAATGGATGTCATAGAAATTTGATGTCGGGGTATAACTGAAATCATTTGGCTTAGAATAGTATTTAATGTTGGGCTATTGTGAATTGTTACATTAACCCTCAAGCTCCATCGAAGAGGGTATCAGTTGTTCAGATTTTCAGCCATAAAATTTTCGAGGAAAAATCCGCCCCTCAAATCGTCAACTCTCACGTACATAAGCATCGGGTTAGCTCAGTCATCAGTGTGACTGCCCATGAACTGTACGAGAAGGCTTCAATTCTTTCTATGGTTTCAGTAGTTCATCCACTTTCCTAACCATCAAGTACCAGCTAACCTAAATTCCGCGGCCTGTAGTCCACAAGCGAACTATACCGACCGAGCGACCGCCGCTTGTCGGCGAAGTTAGTGCGAACTTTTGCGGATAGAGTGTGTCACATTATTAATCCAAAGGTTCCTTACGGCCGTTAATCTCGTTTTTTACTAGACCAGAACCAACTAACCAATCGTCTCAATTTACTCCGAAGGACTAGAACGTATTCTTTACCTCCCTTTATGCTACATATAATTATATCACGTGATTTGACATAGGAACAGGAATCTCACACCTCATACATGTTGTTAGAGTTATGTAGAAGAAAGCTATTTTAGTGTTCTTGTCCTCAGGATTTTCGCCGTCTGGGACTGATATGTAACTTTGGCTTTCGGGATTCAGCAGCGCCGTGTATTGATGCTGTTTCGGTGTTTTCTGCAGTTGTCATATTGAAACGTTGCAACAGCTTCAACATATGACATGTTAATCCGCAAAAGCCGAAGTCACACAGCAGTTTATATTGCAAAAATTTGCTCTCCATATGACCTACACAAAAAATTAAAAAATCTTTATGAACTGGACATATGGAAGCATATGTGGTTTGCTATAGTGTAGGAGCCGCTGGGTATATCACATCTAGTTAGTTTAGTTAGTTTATTGGGGGGTTGGGGGTGAGAATGAGTCCATTTTGTACGTCGGCCACTAATTGGCCCATTGTACCAAATCTGGACGATAGAAGATGTGTGTGGAGCAGTCGGTGAAATGGGAATTGGCAGAGAAAACCGAAGAACTCGGAGAAAACCTGCCCCAGTGCCACTTTGTCCACCACAAATCCTACATGACCTGACCTGGGGTCGAACCCGGGCCTCCGCGGTGAGAAAACGGCGACTAACCGCCTGAGCTATGGCACGGCCGACCCCATCGCATATAAACAATTCTGAAAAAAAAATTGACTTTCAATTTGACAAGTGAGGCATTTCCCAGAACAAAACAACTCTTTCTACCTTCCTATAAGGAAGTGCTCACAAGGGTAGCAAGAAACCCATGTTTAAACTTCAACTGGGATCAGAGATTTTGAAAGTGTGTAATGCAACTCTTTCCTTGTCAGTGAACCAATTAAATCGTTCTGTCAGGATTTGAATGCTAAGCAAAGACTGGGTTTCTGTCTAATGGAATTCATATATTTGCTAACAGATAACACAACCAAGCAAGATACTGAATTTTGAGGCGTTGTACAAGACTATTGCAAACATGCGCCTATTACATTCGTCATTCCTCTCCGTCCGCATATAGCAATTCGAAACCCGCTCAAAGGATTTTCATAAAATTTGATGTTGGGTTCCTTTATTAAAATTTGTCTATATATACCAATTTTGATTAAAATTAGTCTACAGTGATGGATTTTATAAAAAAAATTAATATTCCTACCATTTTTCTTGAAGTCTTGAGGTTTTCGAGATAGGTAAATCAGAAGGAGCTAAGAAGTATGTTCGTAACTTGTTAAAATTGTACTACCATTTTCTACCCTTTAACCTGTATGGTAGGTTTTAAGAAACCTGTCACAATCTGATGGGAACTGACCTGGTTTGAACATAGATACTGCTTCATAAATTCACGTAATTCGGGCATACCTTAACAGATACAATACATCTGACTTTAAATTCTTTCTCCGTTTTACTATTGGCAGATGCCTCTTTACTAACCTTGATTTAAATTTAATAAAACAATCTGGCAATTACCATAGAGTGTACAGCAGTAGGCTTGGAAATAAAAGAGTCAAATCTGGGGGGGGGATGAACGGAATTAAAGAATAAAGGAATATATTTGAATGGGCAAAATATTTTTTACATATGTGCCCCTCTGTTTTGCATACTTTTGATGTCCCTGAGTAAAGTAATATTTTCTATCAGATAAAAGATAAATCGATATTTCATGAAGTTAACGGCTTTTGTTTTATATAAATTGGAAGTAAGTGTAGAATATAATATCCAGTTAACTGCGATAAAATTTAACCCTTTCCATGCTGTTTTCATAAAAGGAACTCTTTTGTGAGAACGTAATTTATGTTATGTAAAAGCTACAGAAAATCAGTCTTAACTGTCGTCAGGTGAAGGAAAACTCTTCTTTCACTACTAACACTCTAGAACAAAATAAATTCGGAGGATATTGATAACGGTATCCAAGAAATATAAAGATGCAAAGCACGGATAGGGTTAAATAACAATGGCGCAACAATAAATCAATACATTACAATAAAGCCACCCTCTGCAAGATCTAACATATTAAAACAGTAAAAATCTCTTCTTTAAAAAGTCTTCATAACATACATTTTTATTAGAACAATTAATCTCTTGTATGCAGAGGATCACCACCAGGAGAATGATGATACGTTAACTGGTGGTGATTCACTGCAGTTGTTGATGGAGGTGTCTCAAACAGGGACATCTTCAGTCGTTTGCACTTAGCCCTTCGATTCTTAAACCAAAATTGCACATTCTTTGGCTCTAATCTCGGGAACTTCTGTCGGTAGGGCATTCGATTCAGCTCCTCTGTGTACTTGAGAATCAGGTTATGTGAGGGGTGTGTGTTGAGGGAAAACCACTGCTCTAGTCTTGGCACTTCCGTTACTGGGTCTATGAATGTTCTATTGCGTTTCCGTCTCTCGTCTGCTGAGGCTGCTAGGGCCGACAGGTTGAGGCCCCCAGAGGAGGAAGGTGGTGTGGCTGGCCCTAGACCGTGATGACCGTGGTGCTGGTGGGCTAAGCCAGGGATGTAGTGGCTCATGTACATGATGCTATGAGAGAACATAGAGTTGGGTACTAAAGGAAAGCCTGCAGCCGCTGCTGCTAGCCGATCCAGGTTCGGGGGGCCACCACCACATGGGCCCCGAGCTGCTACGACCATGTCTGAAGGGCTGGGGCTACGAAAAGAACGCAGCCTCTCCTGTTGGCGATTCAAGTCTCCAATTCTAGCAGGATGCATTGTACCTGTGAACATATTAATCAGGAAGCATAACCGGGAAATCTGGTCCCTCACCTCAAGAGAAGGATACAGATTGAGGGCGTTTGCAGATAAGGGGAGATCAGTCAGACTTAAAGAAATAGAAAATGACAGAACGATAGAGAAAATTGCATACGGAGGAGCAATCAAATATAATGAAGGTAGTTTCAAAGAGGGCGAGATGATTGGGGTATGGAGCACGCATTCACAATTTTAGTTGGAAGAACATAAGGGAAGACACAACTTAGTATAAAAAGTAGATGATAGAAAAATGTTAAAGTAATCTTAAAGCTGTAACATGTAGGGACATTGTCTGGATTCATTTGTCTCAAAACGAGGTAAGAGGTGGGCTCTTTTGAACACTATAATGAACATGCTGGTTCCTAAAAAGACAGGGAATTTATTTAGTTCCCGAGGGAGTATCTACTTCGTTAAAACTTTTAATTGATTGAACACAAGCAAATACATCACATAGTGAATCCTGCAGCATTGTGCAAATGTGACAAACAAGCGCAATAATATTTTGAATGTAGGCATTTTTGTGGAGCACGAACTTCGTAAATTTTGTGTATTTATAAATTATATTGTTAGTGCTGCTATTTTTTACTGATCACAATAGCTGAATATTGTAATTAATTGCATCAATAAATCAAACTGAAGGCCATTAAAAAGAAATATCTTGTAAGATATGAAATTTCCTTATAATCTTATGATAAACCCACTTAATAATACAAATTTTAGCTGTTTAGGTTTCGTCATTTCAGTCTACGAAAATATGTATTTAAAACCAAAACTGAGTAAATTCACTTATAAGTGTGAGAGACGAAAGGGAGACTACCGAATAAAAGAATGGGGAAAACACCTATTATAATAGGTGTAAACTGTAAACACGTCTACAATAATTATTGTAGACGTGTTTACAGTTCTGTTGCTTGGAATTGGCTATGGGGCGGAACACATTGCAAACATTTCCGTTGTCAGAATTGTTGCGTAACATAGCAATGGACTTATTACCAAGAATCTTTCTTCGCGGGAACTTGTTTACCAACCCGTTGCCTAGCAATGGGTGTACATACAAAAATATTAAAGACTGAATATATAAATCACTTCTTAATATTGTGACTTGATAGTGACTATAGACGGAATTTTGACTGGTAATCGGGTTTATTGGACAGTTACTCCATTGTTACCGGCTACAAAGCTGTTGCCTAGAAACGGAATATATGCAGAGTCGTTCCCTAGCAACGGCTGTCACTGCTGGCTTCACAGTTCTTGCCTTAATGAAATATGTCATAATATGAATTAGGTACAGGAAGCACGTTCAAGAAAATGGGTTATGACTTTGTTTCCTCAGATTACTATCTCAGTTTCCTTTCTTAAAAACAAACTTTAATATACAGGGTGTTAGACCTACAAGGTCCGCATTACCTGAGGTCTGAGCATCATAGAGCAATACGAAGGATTTCCGGCATAGAAAATGAGCAATCGCCTAAACTCTATAAAGCGATATTAGAACCCTGCTAATTTCTGTCATAACTTGCACTTACCTATCTCTTCATCGTCATGTTCCAAGTCCCCTTTGTTCCGCCTGTCTTCTAAATCATCAAGGTCTTCATCTTCTTCATCTTCATCCATGTCTGATATCTCTTCACAATTCTTGTTGTCACTGTCATTGTTGTTATTGTTGTTGTTTTTACTAGACAATGATAATGAAACTTCGTCTGGCGGTTCCTGCTTGATCCCATCCATCTGCAAAACAAAATTATGAACATGAAAGGATAAAGAGAAAAATATGCAATACACAGCTTTACAACTCACTTTATTAGTTTTCTGACTGGCTGTTCAGCCCACTTGGGCCCTGGCCTGTGATTTTTAGTTTAATGATCATTTTACAGACGGTAGGACTCTTTGGAAGAGTGGTCAGCTCGTCTCAAGGCCTCTACATAAACACAGAATAAACACATACACATACCAAACATCCATGTGTTGTGTGGGATTCGAACCTACGATCCCGGCTTCCGAGCCTTAGACTACTAGGCTAACGTGACCGGCAATTTATTAGTTTAGGTGACTAATTTATGAGGAATGCCATAATTTCCTTGTGCAGTACGTCTAAGAGGTAATGAGAAATATATTTCAGATTTCGGTGATATAAATGTCATGAAACGGAAGAAATTTGAACACAGATTTAGGTGGACTATAGAAGGCTTATATACATCTTACAGAAATTTTCTTAGCAGATATAAACTGGATTGAACTCAGTAGTTAGGAGAGGCAAAGCCAAATGGAATTTGCAAATTTAAGAAAACGACAAAAATATTGTGACGTGGACGGCGCAACGCTCGGTAAAGCCCCTCCCCTCAAGCTGTGACGTAACAGCACTTCCAACAGTGACGTAACAGTGGACACCGCGGTTACAACTCTCGGCAGCGTTCCCCAGCAACGCCTGTACACATGACGTCACGCAACAGTGAAAGCTATCACGTAACTGTTCACGTAACAGAGATACTAGAGTAACAAGAAACCAGTCAGGTTCAATCTAGCAGTCGCCGAGTCGGGTTGTATCGAGTGAATGGAAATGACTACAGGAGAAGTATTTGTGATACTGCACATGGCAGTAGTGATGAAACTGTAAATTGTGTAAATGTAAGAGCGAGTGGAATAAAGTGGCTATATTCAACAGAGCGTGAAGTTACTTGTCGCGTGACAATATTATGTATGGAGTGCAATATTTCAGGCTTTTAGGCGCCGGCTTCTTCTTACAAGGGAATAACTGAAGGAAAAACAGCCGATAACAGTCTATTCTAAACCCTGGATGCGCTGTAGACACCTTCTGCAGAACAAACCTCCGATTAGATTCTAAAGGGTTCCGACGATGATGTATAATACTAGGTTTTCGGAATTTTCCATCGTCCGGTATTCAAGAAACTAGACAACAAAACGTTTCGGAAACAGATCAAGTTTCCGAAACGCTGTTTTCTAGTTTCTAGAATAGTGGACGATGGATAAAATCCAAAAACCCAGTAATTCTTAAACCTCTCGAAGTAATAAAACAGAAAAGTTGTTCTGTAGCTCTCTTATTGACTCACTTCTGACAATATATTGGATTTCGGTGACGCCTCGGCGTTGTCCTTATCGTTCGTGGTAAGAGACAGGGGGCCCGTGGGACTTCCTGTTCCTCTGTCTTCAGCTTCTTCTGCCGCCCTGAGATCATCACGTGGATCGCCTCTGTGATCGACAAGATCAATTCGTGGCTCATTGCGCATGATTTCATCTTCATCCTCCTGGTCGCTGGTCACAGCCGGGTCGTTTGAGTTTTCCGAGTGGTGGTCGGAGAGGAAGAGGTGGCCCCGTGTGGGGCTGTGAAGTGGCGTGCTAGGGCTTTTGATACCCTGGGGTAAGAGTCCCTCTTGCCCCAGCATCATACTTCCCGTGTGGGGCGGACTGTGGCTACTGCTGTTATAACCGTTCAGGGAGATGTGACAAGGCAGGCCTGGAAAAAATACCTTAGTCACTGTAACACTTAGTGTTTGATGCTCTCACAGTTGTGGTATTGGAGATTCATATCTACTGGGATATAAAGCCGTGTAGTCCGATGAAAATTAACAAATATTTCGAAGGAATATGTCGCATCCATCTTCAGGTCTAAACGGTAAGCCAAGAAGCAAATCAGCACGAAGAAGGTAGCAAGTAGACTTGACTACACGTCGTTATATCCCAGGGCATACAACTTTACAATGTGACATCTGACTGTAACAGAAAGGGCTGCCAACGAGAATATGACAGATTAAAATATGAGATGTGGCAAGAAAGTCGGGGGACATAACACAGTCCCACTACCATAACATAGACTGCGAAGCCAATGCAAAGTTGGATAGCAGGGAAAAGAAACTGCTATAAAAAATCCGAAAGACTGCGATATCTGGAGGTATCCAGATATCTGGAGCTAGTATAGCGGAAGCCGGGCCGCGCCATAGCTCAAGTGGTTAGTCGCTGGCTTCCCACCGCGGCGGTCCGGGTTCGATCCCAGGTCTGGTCAAGTGGGATTTGTGGCGGACAAAGTGGCGCTGGGGCAGATTTTCCCCGAGTACTTTGGTTTCCACTACCAATCTTCATTCCACCAATTGCTCCACAATCGCCCTCACCTATCATCTGGGGCTGGTACAATAGGCCAGAAGTGGCCGCAGTACAAGGGACTTAGTCCCACCCCACTAGCAATAAAAAGAAAGGAGTATATCGGAAGCGAGAAGAGAATTTTGGAAAAAATGGGTGGGGACATATGAGAACTCCTTGTTCATAATATTGGGCAGTTAACTTACAGGGAAAGTTCTTTGTAATTTTAAAATGCAATACATCATAAGCAAATGCTTGTAATACTGCAAAAGCAACGTATTCGCTTTAGAAGTTTCAGTTAGCACAGTAAAAGGTAAAGGTAAAGCTATCCCTCTAACAGGCCGTGAATGCCCATAGGGTTGTGAGACGTCGAGGTTCCCACATTTTCTAGACAATCGGCTCACATATGTCGGTGAGGTTGTCAGCCTTACGCGCCGGCCGCCTTTTACCACAAGGAATGTTCCTGGTACTCATTTCTGTTAGAGGCCGAGTAGACCCCAGAGCCATGGTGCGGCTGGAAGGATTAGGTAGATTAAAAAATACAATGACTTCATCGGGAATCGAACCCGCGACCTTCCGGCCTGTAGCATAGTGCCTCAACCAACTACGCTACCGCGTGCCGCACCAGTTAGTAAATGCTTCGGACAGGAGATCCTCGACTGTTATCATGTAAAACCTCTGTCGAAGCTACGTATTGTGGTTGGTTGTGTGAACTTACCTGGGCCTACGCCCCGCAACTCGGCGCGTTTCTGTGCAGCTCTCGCGTTCTTGAACCAGTAAACCACGTTGTTGATGTCCAGAGGCTTCCTGCCTCGCCTCGACTCCAGACCGTTCAGTTCCTTCACATACTGCTGGATCTGCGACACGGGTGAAACATAATCCACCTGTATCACTCTTTCGACTGACTAACAAACTATTTTCGGTAAAGGTAGTTACAAGTCGGACGGGAAAAATTATTATTATTATTATTATTATTATTATTGGAGGGGTGGGTTTCTGCGTGCACTGCGACTAATAGTCTATTGTACGTCCCCCTTTGATATTCTACCAGCCGCCGTACCCTACCGGTACTGGTGCGTGCTATCAGCCCCGTTCAGCCAACGAGGTCGGCCCTCGGTACCCGATGCTTCCTCCATCTACCAGAGACATTGGAAACTACTTGGGCGGGAAACATTTTGCCTAATTTTGCTCAGAGGTCTCCTAGAGACATGAGGATCTTTTACGTGCCGTAAATCTACGACACGGGACCCACGGCTTAAGTCCCTCCCGGAGGACTTGTTCCCTGAATTTTTCCGCCCTTAAAAATTCCACGACCTCCGCCGGCTTTGAACCCGCGTATGAGGTGGGAACGTTACCCCTAGGCTACGGAGGCCGGTGGAAAATTACTATGTAATCAAACAACATTATAGGTTTAATTGACTAAAAGCTAACTAAAGAACTAAAAAAATTACTACAAAATAAATTAACAAAGAACTAATAAGGTAGGTAATAAAATAGAAAAGGAACCAAATAATAAACAAATAATTTACGAAATAAATGCAATAATTGATTCCTATACTACGTAACTAATATATAAATGTATAAATATAATTAACCAATAAACTAAAAAGTAATAAGTAATCAAAAAATTAACGGCGTAACTAATTAATTAACAGCATGATGCACGACTTTCTTGATAAGTTTATAGGTATTCAATCGGATATAAAATTTTCCGTTTCTATGGAAACCTGTGTTCGCAAAATTCCGTCATTGAAATCTATCCCGAGGCAGCTCAATCCATTAAAATCAGTTTCTGATTAAAAAAAAAAAAAAAAGAAAAACCCCCCAATTTCTGTATGGGAATTACATCTGCCTTTTGCATCTTCTTCATTTAGTCACCATTAAAATTCGTGGAAGATTATAAGTTGCCAACTTTATAATAAGATCTAAAAGTTTGTGACGGTAGTATATTGCTACAAGTGTTATGTTTTTGGACATTATCCATCGTCTTGTCTATTAAAAAAACGTCCCGTTTCTTTTTTTAAAACACAACGTTTCGGAGACTGGATTCTGTCCCCATCCTCAGGTAACACCTATTCAGTTGGGTTCAATAGACAGAGCTAGCCCTATCTTCGGACACCTACGCCAGTTTCAGAGCCTTCTCATTGCGCAATTGCATCCAAGTCTCTGCTGCTTCATCCTCCTTAAGTTCACAGCCTATAACTTCTCCTTACTACCTTATTCAGACATATGTTACGTTCACAAAGACCTACATTGGTCTGAAAGCTACCTCGGTCTCAGTCTTCTGGCAGAAGGAGAGACCATTAGGTAGCGGGCCCCTAGCGCAGGACCTGTGCTCACCTGTTGACGACTTGGGTGCTGGTTCTCAGCGAACCACCTTTGTAGTTTGGGCAGTTCCAATTCTGGGTCGAAACTAGTCCTCATACGAGTCTTCTGTGTGGGATATTGACTCTGAACTGTCTGCAATACAGAACACAGGTCAAATGATGTGTTTTCTGAAGTAATGGCGGTTAGTTGCTAATGTTTTGATTGTGATTTTTGATTACGGCTCCATGCAGTCTTTTAAATAGTTACAAGAGTTTCGGAAGAAGCTACTGCTTCCATCTTCACAGAAGATAGAACACGATACCATAACCCAGAAGACCATAATGTGAATTTTCATTACGGGCTTAAATCCCATAAAGACCACAGTTAACCTTCTTTCAGTTCTCCCGTCAAGTGTTGTTGCGCAGGTTTCGAAAGCAATCCTCCAAAAAACCTGACTGCTTCAGTCTTTTAAGAAAGGAGCCAAGTAAATGCAGGGCAGAATTATCCAATCCCTTGAGGCTCAGAGTCACAAATATCGAATACTGATTTCTGCTTTGTAAGTTTTTCTTGTGGATGCAGAAGTGTGTCTCCGCTAGTTAAATTAATTAGCTGACCAAAGTTACTTTTCATCAGTTTGAAGCTTGCGTGTCTTGTTCCTGTATCACTTTACTTTGGACAAGGAGACAGGCAGATTCAGAGAAAATTCGGAAAACCAAATCACCTCAGTATGGCGTCGGTATTTGAATATCAGGTTCCTTACAGCAACAAAACAATTTATATCGATGGTAGAAGAAACTCGCATAAACGTCATGATGACAAGACACTTTCTCTATAACCCACATATGGGTCAGTTTCATTCCGTATTCACAACCGTTCCCTAGTGGCGGAGATTAAAAATTACTGATATATGGAACTAAAATATAAATTAAATTCAAATTTACACACACTAGAACTGGAAAAGTTAGCAACAATAACATGTAAATTTTAATTTTTCCTCCTTTCCTTATTATGTAAAATTCTTTATGTGTATGTAGATCTGTCCGTCTTTGTTTCTTTTACCCATAATCGATCTCTAAAAATGGATGGAACTTCTTATAAGTGTCATTAAATCAGAGACAATAAAGTTTTATGCTTTTCAGTTCAGTACCATAGATAGTGCCAATATGGTGGTTATGCGAAATATTGTGCTGGAAACGACAATAGAGCCATTTACTGTAATTTAGTAATATTAAGGCATATGTGACTATCAGCACTAAAGATTAAGAAAATTTAGTCAATGTTACGTTCTCTCAGTATGCACAATTACAATATGGCAGTAGCTGAAAATCTATTATTATATTTAACATAACACTCGTTAGCGATAAATGAAAAGATTTATTGCAAATGCGCTTTAGAAAACTGGTATGGAGATATCACAAATATAACACAAAGGTATTTGTATTATTTATTTAGGTATTATAAACTTCCTGCTCACTGTATATTAAAAACAAATAAATTACACCGAGGAACACTCCCTATTCCTTGAATTTAGCTAAATATTCGTCACATCGAAAGAACATCTGCAATTAAAGGTTTATATAGTATACAGAGTGTTTCTCAATTACTGTCGGAATTTCCGTGGCATATAATTATTAAATTGGAAAAAACAAAATGAAACTGCTGATAAAATATGAAAGTATATATCAGAAAGTTTTATTTGGCAACGCTGTACTCCCCGCATTGATGTTTGGGCGAAAATATGACGTCTTAACTCAAAATGGCGACTCTTCAAAAGAAAGCAACGTGCTCACTTTGGATTTTGCGAACTAAAGTCCGTCATCATAATGAATTGTAGTTACAGAACTAAATATGGAAAAGATCCACTTGGTTAAATCAATTTCAAGAGACTGGTAGTATCCTGCACTGAAAAAACGCTGGAAGACCGAGCACTTCACAGGAAGATGTTGATTGAATCCTAGAAGCTTGGACATCTTAAGTGCGAAGAAAAGCGGGCATGTTGAAGTTGTTTAGCATTATGCAGTATTGATTTTCTAAATAATTAAACTTTTTGAGTTATGTTTTCATATTCCGTAAGTAGTTTTATTTCCTTTTTCTCCGGTTTGAAAATTATAGGCCACGAAAATCCCGACAATTTAGAACCATTCTGTGTATCATGTACCAGTAATTGCAACATTAGCAGTGCTGTTTTTTTAAAGAAATGCCTATAAAGGTGTTCTATTTGATTTACATATAAAATATAGGACTTCTTGAAGAGTCACTTCGTTGATTAAACATGTGCACAGATATATACAATCCCTGACTTTCATTTCATGTATTTTCTGCAACAAACGGGCAATATCTAAGCACCTCCCTTACTGCGATGGAGCCATCGCCCAGATATCCGTGACAACCCGTTAAGAGATAAATTTCCCAGCCGATGTATGCCATTACTTACCTGTAGCGCTGGATGTACGCTCTCAGGCAACGACGGCGGTCTGTCCAGTAACTTGTTAGGGGTTGAGGTATGGTGACTACCGCTCCCAGGACTGTACTGGGAGCCAGATTGTGGCCGAGGCATCGGATGGTGCTGAGAGCCGTGGTGTTGGTGCTGCTGGTGCTGATTTAGTTGCAGAGACCACCACTGTTCGAACTTTCGCCGACACTCTTCGCTTGGTTCCGGTATGTGGGTGCCTGGCACGGAGTGAGTACGACACAGGTGCGACAGTGTGAGCTGCCAAGGAGTGATGATTCGTTGTATTAACTGACTCTTATGCAGAAGATAGAAGCCTCAGCTCATATGGTCACGAAATCCATTATTTACTGCGTTCACAACACAATGTAATTGGACTCTATGCTGACCCGAATTTACCTACCTACCTACCTACCACTCGGCGCTACAGCCCTGGGTGAGCCTTGGCCTCCTCTACAACCAGTCTCCACAACCAGTGCGTGCTGCCATAGGAATGGATCAACGCATGATGACCCGAGGCTGGTTTCTGAACAAAATTCTTTTTACAGGATGAGGTTGTTAGCCTCATGCCCTGGAGGACCAAGGTATCTCTCTTATTCTGGACTCTACCTTTTGACATTTCCGGCAAGGGTGACCCTACCGGTAGTTAATTTTAAATTCGCTTAGTGAGGGGTGGAGTTCAACTGGGTTCACTCGGCACGGCGGCCACTGAGTGGCCTATTTTAGCCGCCTGCCCCGGGTGATTATGATGATGGAGAATTTGGTAGCATGAAGATTGGCAGGGGAAACCGAAGTACTCGGGGAAAACCAGCCCCAGGGCCACTTTGTCCACTACAAATCCCATTTAACCAGACCTGGGATCGAACCCGGGCCGCCGTGGTGGGAAGCCAGCGACTAGCCGCTTGAGCTATGGCGCGGCTTAACGGTAGTTAAACTACAGCCGGCATAGCTCTCCAGCTGACCTAAATGTATCCAGTTTATATGAAAACCTATTGTTTTAGCACTCACTTTAATATCATTTTCCCATTTAATGTTAGGTACCTCAAAGGAGTACCTGCTTTCAGCATTTCCGACTGAAAATCTCTATGTATTTCTCATCTTTTCCATTCATGCTACATATCTCGCCAATCTAATCCTCCTTAATTTCCTCACTCTAACGCTTCTAATATCAGATGAAGGGTACCTTAATATGTAATTTTCTATATAACCCTTCTGCTTCATCCCTCTCAGGTCTAGATATCCTTAACAGCTTTTCTTGCTTACAAAATCTTCAATCTATTGTCTTAATTTAGGTAATAATTTTAGGTGTACATAACCACATCCATACATTGAACTAGTGTTAATATTATCTTGCCTTCTAGGAATCTTAAAAGATTAATCTTTCCGCGTTGAATTTAAATGATTCCTAAGAAGATTATCAATCGAAAACTTCCAGTTACATCACAACAGCTAAAAGAACGTAACAATGTAAATTATACGTTACCATGGTAATATACCAGAAAATTTCTCTTTATCTTGTACTTTACCATTGAAATACATGAGAACAAGATTTCTTTGTGTGACCATGAAATTATACGAACAGAGGAATGTGGAAGTGCTGTAGAAACACATTTGAACTCAAAATGTCACCGAGCACTGTTCTACGAACTGTTCTCATGCTTGGATCATGCTCTTGAATCACTTGTGCACTCAATACGGAACGTAGACGGAATAAATGAAATATTTATTAAAATCTCGTTTCATTTATGATCCACATAAACGTCGCATATGTTTACGAATTTTCCACGAAAGCTCTCTCCTTCAGAGTGCATGATATACTGCGCCAGTAGTCTTAAGACGCTATGCGAATTAAGACACTGATTTAGTACGAGTGCCAGCCGGCGGTTATATAACCGGGGATTTAATAACCGGGATTAAATCGTCACCGCGCCACCGAGGCGGATTTTAAACACGACTTGCTCAAACAACCGCGCATCGATCTGCGTGGAGCAGTGGCTTATCTACAAACATGTTAGACCGAGCGAGTTGGTGTAGTGTTAAAGCTCTGATCTTTCGTTCGTGAAGTGCTATATTGGAGTCTCGGTCATTGGGCATCATGACTGATATTTTTCCTGGTTTTACTCAGTCACCCTCGGAATGTGTACTAGGTTACGTCACCATTCAATCATCTCACCATTCTCTGCTACACTGTCTAGACGAAAACAGCATCGTAAAACAAACAACAGGAAATACATTAAACATGAACACTTTCCGCCTTGAGGTTTTGAACAGTAGAACATTTGCCTAATATATTCATAATTTATATATATATCCCCAAAGCACAGATCTTGTAGATTCTAAAGGGTTCTGACGATGGTGTATAACACTCAAAATTACTACGTTTTTGGACTTTGTCCATCGTCCGGTATTCTAGAAACTAGAAAACACAACGTTTCGGAAACTGGATTTGTTTTTGTCTTCAGGCGAGGGGGAAGACACCTACTCAATTGGGTCCCTTAGAAAGAGCTAACCTATTAATGTTGGCTCCTTCTAAGGGTCCCAACTGTGTAGGTGTCTTCCCTCCATCACCTGACGACGGAAACAGATCCGGTTTCGGAAACGTTGTGTTTTCTAGTTTCTAGAATACCGGACGATGGACAAAGTCCCAAAAAAAATAATTCTGACTACATTTCTTGTTTACATGTGCAGTTTTCGTACTGAATGTTTGTATTTGTGTCGTTCATATTGAAGTTGAGTGTTTTGAAATTTTCGAAAGATGCAAAAATTAAGTGACAAACACTCAATGCAAAAAGTGCTGCATTCAGATGCTATAAATTATTGCTCTGAGATAGCGTAGGGACCGCTTCTGTGGTCTAGTGGTCAGAGTTCCTGGTTACAGTTCCAGAGGTCCCGGGTTCAATTCCAGGCGCTACCAGATTCTCTGAGTAATGGCTGTGGAACGGGGTCCAATCAGCCTCGTGAGGATAATTGAGGAGCTATTTCGAGGAAATAGATGCTCTGGTCTAGAAAACCGAAATTAAAGGCCGTGGGGATGCGTTCCGCTGACCATTCGACACCATCTATCCGCTAAAGTTGTATCTAACCTCGCCGACAAGCGGAGGTCGCTCGGTTGGTATAGTTCGCGTGACTCAAGCCACGGAATTTAGTTTAGAGATAACGCAGGATTACGTTCCCTGAATTCATCCGACTCATGACGCCGAACGCGGTAATGAACCTTAGGTTTCCATGAAAGGCGTTGAGTTCCTTTCAGTATATCAGTAAGTATTAGATTCTCAAGAAGGAACCCGCTCCAAGAAGTTATAATATAAATTTCACGCAGACGCCGTGCTTTTATTTAAAAAAAATATTACATTAACAAAAGAAACATACCTTAGTTAGATCTAGTGACTACGGCCGCGCCATTTCTCAAGCGGTTAGTCGCTGGCTTCCCACCGCGGGGGTCCGGGTTCGATCCCGGGTCTGGTCAAGTGGGATTTGGGGTGAACAAAGTGACGCTGGAGCAGGTTTTCTCCGCATACTTCGGTTTTCCCTGTCAGTCTTCATTCCACCAATCGCTCCACAATCACCCTCACCTATCATGTGGGGCTGATACAATAGGCCAGAAGTGGCCGCAGTACAAGGGACTTAGTCCCACCCCACTAGCAATAAAAGAAATAGATCTAGTGACAAAACACGTCTGAGGGAACTGCATTAAATAGGGTTAATATGGCTCCCGCCTTAATAATTCCTTCACATAGAATAACTACATACTGATTAGAAGATAACTAAAATGACAGAAGGACAGAGTATTCTCCAAGGTCTTCATAATGATACCGAATCTCGTGAAAATTCTTATAAATTAGAAAGAGAGCTTAAATCACTGCCTTTGGACGGCACGTTTTGGAGTCAGCGGATTTTTTAACACAGTGCCACTTATTTCAGATTCGTCGTGCTTGGTGCCCTCCGAAGAAGTTAAACAAATATTTCGACCCAATGAAAACATTTTTGGAAAATGAGAACTTTAATGCTCTTGTGATATAGTTGGGCAATGCTCTTCTTTAGGGGTTACGTGCTCAGATAAAATAGAACAGGAGAGAGAGAGAGAATTTTCAGTACATACGCTGAATATCAAAATAAAGCAAAACAGGTCTAACTTTCGGTACATACGCTGAAGAAGTGGAATCATCGCTCTCTATTCAAGGTGCGTTGGTACCCCTAGGAATATCAGTACCACAATTTGGAAAGAAGCTGATAATTTCTGTTACAATATACCCAGTACTCTCAGCCACGTTTGTAACATAGCATTTACATATTTCAAGGTCAGATTTTGTCATCATCCATTCTCATTAAAATATCTAAGCGTTTTGCATAGTTCCCATGTTAATATTTTTAATCTGTTCTTGTCGCCAAATAAACAATATTGCATAGTTCTCGAGCATCCATGAGAAATTTCAGTGCTCCATAATGATCATATCTACTCCTGCATTGACCTCAAAACTAAGCACTATGTGTATTGTTAGTATATTCGTGAGATGTTAGTCAGTTAGTGCCTGTAGCAGATCTGTAGTTTGCGAATGACAGACACACAGGCATATCCTAGCTAATTTTCTAAAAATTGGGACTACGTTCTTTGGGAAACTTGAAAATTTCAGCGTTCAATCTACATAGGTTCAGATGTGCTCAGAATTTCAACTGAATCACCTAAACACGAGAAAATCATCTCCAAATACTAAGCTGGTCATAAATCTGAGTTACAGATTTGAATTTACTGAAGTGTTTCTGTTATTAATAAAATAACTGACGTCATAATACCTGCATATGACAATTCTGCAGTACAAAGAGGCTTTCACCCAATCCCACCTATAAATATACCTCAAGTGACATCTCTAAGATAATATCATTTATGCCTCCCCTCTCCTTCCTTCTTAGTTGTTTTGGGCACCTTGGATGAGTTAAGCTCCGACTGGATTAGGCCCAGGAACTCCGTCAAGAAACCTAACAAACCAGACACAGTGCAGAACTTCTTCAAACACAGTGCATGAAGTGAAGGCACAGTACGGTTGCGTTGCTGTCTTTACATCTGTGTGTATATGTTAAATACAAAATTAAGGAAGGGATGTAGTTGAAATTTTGAAATGGCGGTTATTAAATATACCAGTGGCGAACGTAACTTTCCTTTATATGTATAACATCAAGTTTACACGAAATCAGAAGAGATTTCTACTAGCTTTTCCTCAAAATAATTATTTAAAAAAATTTACATCATTAAAAATATAGACGAC